TTTCGCGTAGCAACAGTTATTTCTAGAATATCAAAGGCCGCACTAGCTAATATTGTCGAATGCACTTATACAGATTCTGAGTTGGACACAATGAGTCCCTGGGAAGCTCTCCAGCACGGAATGCGCGTCACAAATCCTAGACAGAATATTTACTATCCGCGCCTAATTATTCCGAGTTCCCTAACAAAATTGACAGTGTGCTAACGTTAGCACCGCTGACAGACGACTGACTGCACTCGCGCGCGCTCGACACATCCAACTGTCAAACCGGTATAGCACCGAGCCGCGCGCCCCCTAGACGTCGATTCCGACAACAGCGTCTGGCGCGAACAAATACAATGGCAGATATAGCCAATAGGCAGTTATAAGAGAATAGAAATAATTCGCCGTCAGAAAGGATTTGTGTCACTGACGTTGAGTATATGCATTTTTCGATCATGTTTGTCTCACCCACCAACAAGTTGCCTTCAATCATTTAAAGGTGGGAACTTTACTGAGATATATTATTTTGTTATATAAAACATCATGAAGGTCAGACAATCTGCAGCCCCGTAATGAAGGGACCCTACTTGGGCAAAGCTACTTAGGTTGTGAATCAAACCAAGACGCAGAGAGTGCCATTGAGAATTACGATCCGCCAAACAACCATCGCAGAGACGCAATGCTGCAGAACACAACTAGCATCAATACAACTATCGTCGAGCTTACACCATCCCTAGGTCCACCATACAATCCCAGCAGACATCACCACCCGCATACCTCCATCGACCAGAACCACAAGATACGCAATCAGGCGCAGCACACCAGCATGTCCATCACAAGACGTAATACCGTAAATAGCAGTAAGCATCAATGCAACTATCATACGGATGGCACCCCTTCACAACACATCGCTATCGAATTTGGTAACAAAATTGGTACTGTTGTTAATTAAAAATACCACCAACGTATCATAGTAGCACGGTACTAAGACGTCAGTAGCGAAAACTCCACGCATCATAGCGCTATTACACTAAGACATGGAGTTGAGTATGCTTGCTGTTCTTAAAAGTACTACCAAACACACTCACCTTAATCCGTAAGATAGCCAACGTATCATAACGCTATGCGCTAAGACGCCCGACGACAGTGTGCCGAGGGCTTGATAGCGTGGTTCATAGCCTATAGCGTTTGACGTAGATAAGAGGAACTCGTGGTTAATTAACAGCTGCGCGGAACAATAGATCTACAAAATTAAGCTGAACTTGTCGCAGTCAGTCCATGTATGGGTGACCATTTTCTTAACATACCGAGATTGAGAGATAGACAGTGTCATCTGAATCCTCAGACACCTGGTACACTTTAATATCACATGCATATTTGGCTAGTCTGTGTAACATCATTACGTTTTTAAATTCATGCATCTAAAATGATAATAAGCATATTATTTTTCAGAGAGAGTAGCCTCATAAACATATTGGCCTTTAAAGAGATTAATCTTATTTAACTGATTCGTACATGTTTCCTTACTTAAATTATTAAGTTTAAATTCATATTTAAGTCGAATGTTAAAATTAATTTCTATAGTGTATTTAATTATTAAATGTTTTCTAATTATTAAAAGTAATAGTTATATGAAAAATAAAGCAGTCATTATGTACTCCGTGTTCCCGTTTTTTTTATTTCAACAGCAAACCATGTTATGAAATATATAAAGTATAAATAGTTATATACTTAATTAAGTATCTACCTATTTATAGTTCAATAACTTTATGTTATGTGGTAGCTCAGATGGTTAGCGCTCGCTGTAAATTTCACAGTACGCGAGTAATCCGGGTTCGACCCCGCCGGCATCAACGAAATTATTAATTGCAATTTTAAATGCTGATTTACCACGTGTTCGGCGGTGAAGGAAAACACAAAACACCGTGAGGAAACCGGCATGTCTGAAAAATAAGAAAAAAATAAGAAGACATGTGAAGTTCGCCAACACGCATTGTGGCAGCGTGGCGGACATTTCCTTGAACTAAAACCCTCTCAGAAATGAGGGAAGGCATGTGCCCAGCAGTGGGACACGTATATAGGCTGTAACTTTAACTTTTAACTTTAACGTTATGATAAAAATTAAATTATCGGGAAACTGTCCATGGCAGTAAAGTATTTTCCAAAGGTCTTTTCTAAAGGCCTTTCCGATCTTGGGGAAAATTTGTTTAAGTTTATCGATAGACTCACCTCTTCAGAGATTATTGAGACTATGTACAATTTGAATTAAAATCCAACAAAAGGCAGGTAGGTACAGTTTATTCCCGGGATTATGTTATTTGAATATTTTCCAGCCTTGGCAGAGGAGATGACTAAATTTTTATTATTATTATTACATACTTAGGGTTATGCCTTTAATCCCCTGGCATATATTTTACAATACTCAATTATGTAGATTATAATTTTATGCCTGCTCTCAAGCATATCACCCTGACTTTATTGTGTTAAGGGTCGGAAAATGAAATGGGGTAATATCCATATAATAAGTTTTATTAAACCTTAAATATTGGTTCTAGTGGTTTTGTTTCCTTTTATTGTACTGTTAACAAAACTTGTAGTTCATTCACAATTTTAAATTATATTTTTAGCTTGTGGTGTTCATGGTAATGAGGTGAGCCAAACACTGAGGAACACTGCATCAACTGTTCGCCTTTTCGATAAATTATTTGATTTGGTAAATGGGGCAAAAAGTATCTACAAAACATAAATACCACAAGGGGAAAAATTTAAGAAAAGTCACTATATCAGTTGAATTGAATTGAAAATTTAATTTTAACCTTTGTGACAAAGAATAATCATTTACGTCGATAAAAAATTGCATTGTAACTATAAAAGTTTTCAAAGGTTGTGGCAATTCAAGAAGGAAAGAATTTGCCTCCAATGACAAAAAAAGCAGTTGCGCTTGTAATATTACACTGAAATATAGAAATAAAAGACGATAAATTTTACTGTATTTTATTTTTTTATACCGAAATGAAAATTGGGTTCACATTGTGTACATAAATTTAAACCAATAAAGATAAATTTTCAAAGTTCTAGGAGGATCCTGTTTCTACGGGCTTATTGGCTGAAGCAAATACGTACTTTTGCCTTAGATTAATTTAAAAAACCAAATGTCACTTTCAATTCTTGAGGCTCGCTATTGGCCAATTTTTTAGTACGGAAGACGATCGTTTGTGCTCTAAAACTTCTTATTAGTTTGTGGTCTATGGTATATTCTAAATTTCTAAGTCTATGCTTGGAGATAAGCTTATTTTAAAATATAAAAATCTGTTACAACGTACCCAGATGAAAGAAGATTGCTTAAAAGACAAGCATCAAAGCTAAAAATATTAATCTAAAAAAATGACAGAAGAAACGACATCGGACATGCACAGACCCACTGATTTAGAAGTATATATACGGATGTGACATTGAGTGGAAAAATCGATTAATAAAAATCAATTATTTGTTTTGTAATATTAGTCGATTTAGAAAAATTCGATTTTTATTAGATGAAATAATCGATATATGCGGAAAAAATTCTTTTATTCGAAAAAATTCCTGCTTTCCTATATATTAATAAAACTACGATATTAGTATTGCATTAACAATTTATCAGAATATAAATCAAATAAAATGATAAGTATAAAAATAATCAGAACGACAATCTTCTGGTATCAAAACTAAACTACAAAAGAATTTTTTTAACCTATCACTTTTAACAATAAAAACTAAAAATAATTACTGCTACTATATACATGTCATTTAACAATTTATTAGAACCAAAATAAAAAGAAACGATAAGTTTAGTAAACGATAGTTTTTTTTTGAAGTATGTACTGAACACTATTGCCACAAATGCATACCATTGACATTGGATTAGAATGAAAATAAAAATAAAACTATAAGTTAGTCAAACCTTTTGGTCTCAAAACTAATATACAAAATAAATCTTTTTATTAAACTTTAAGTTTAAATAAAAAAAAAAACTATAAATAATTATTGCCACTAATGTTTAGTATCATTTATATTGGACTAGAATGAATATAAAATAAAAATATAATTATAAATAATCAAACGACCACCTTTTGGTCTCAAAACTAAAATACAAGACAAATATTTTTTTAAACTTATGTAAACAAAAAAAGTAAAACAAAATATTGCCATGAATGTTCAGTTAAAGAGTTTAAAAACAATAATTTTACCAACATTCCTCTTCGTCTGTTTTGTAAAATACAGTTACGTAGGCCGGCAACACATCTGCAATTCCCCTGGTTCCCCTGGTGTTGCAGTTGTTCATGGGCGGCGGTAGTCACTTACCATCAGGTGAGCCGCGTGCTCGATTGCCCCCTCTACTATAAAAAAAAGTTTTTTCCTGACAATATTTCCCGCTTTCGAAAATAATCTTTCCGCTGGTACGGAACTGGCCATCACAAAGACGTGTTTAAGAGCCAATTCGGTTAGTTTTGGGAAAGTTTCTTCAGAACTCCATGTATTGAGGGCATCTGCCTTGAGGTTTGATAGTGATGCCGCAATATAGTATTTTTGCCTATCTTCCTTCCATTAGCTACTTTTAGGCGTTTTACAAGACATTTTCATTGTTTAACAATTATTTACACATACTTACTTCGCGTTTTTTCGTCTGTCGCACAGATGACGCTGTCCTTTTGATCGACTTATTCATGATATTGAACTTCACGTTTTTACGACTTTTAAAAATCGATTATAAGAAAAAATAATAATCGATTAATATGAAAATCGATTATTTTTCACATCCCTAAGTATATATCTCTATGCACAGACCAGACAGTGACAGCAAGGTTTATTTTCCTTTGTTTACGTAGTTCAAATCCATAGCAAGTGTTTGAGAGATTGTGACTCATTTGTTACAATAGAACTGATGTTTTACAGTTTAGAAACCTTGTGTTACCTATACTAAAACTTTTTTTAAGTGCCAGTGATTAGGAAAAGGAATGACTATTTCATTATAATTTACAATGTCTTTGTCAACAGAAGAAAATCCAATCATAAATTCAGATATTCAAAATGATGTTACCAGTAGTCGTCGTAATCTAGTTGAGGTTGAAAGAGGTAAAGTATGATCTGTTTTCAGTGTCAAGTGGGTCATAAGAAAAGTGTTTAGAATGGCAAAAAAAAAACTACCTATTTGGTGGCCTCATTTTGTTCACTAATATTAGATCTATTTATTTAGTGCTTGTTATCATTATATTTATACCACAATTCTTGTATTTAGAGGAAACAACAGGATGGATCAAGAGTCGAACAGTTCTTGGCATTATGGGCTTCTTAGGCTTTGCCAATGTATATGCCATGCGTGTAAATCTATCTGTGGCTATTGTAGCTATGATCAACACAACTACTGTACCAAATAATTCCACGTTAGATGTTTGTCCAGCAACTACACCAACCAATAGCTCTGTGCCATCAGTGAGTATATAATTATTAATATGTTTTGTACTTTATTTTTAAGTATAAATAGAGATGAAAGAGGTAAATATTATATTAAGAGGTCTTTTCTAGGTTCAAATCTTACCTTTTTATTTTCTGTTACACTCATCATTGATCGTAATGGCTCTGATGACAATAAGATGGTTGAAAATGTATCTAAAAATATTAAATCAAAATTTCATAAACTAGATAATATAACACTTTCATAACAAAGCATAAGCACCCATGTTTGCTTCTGCAGATTTGACAAGGGTGCTTGCACTTTGTACAATAGACGAGGAGGGAGTAACTGCACTCCCTGTGTGTCTCTGGTTTTACAAAAACATTTAAAGGGCAGTAGCAAAGAAGACCATCATTATTGTACACATTAATTGTAAACTTTTTGGGTAAACATACAACATGCATCCAATGCATTACACTTTGTGCTTAATCTAAATATTATTTTGTATTATATATCTATGTAGTTACTACTATCGTAGATCTTAATTTAAATTTTCTTTAAAATCACTTATTTCTTTGAATTGCAAGTAGAATCATATATATAGGGATTGAGGGTGTGGTGAATATTGTCACCACACATTCAATCCTTGTAAGGCAGTGGTTCTTAACTGATGGTTCCTGATGGCTAGACTTCTAATAATATATGCCTTCATAGACCACTCGGTGACTACACGGTTACAAATGAAGTGCTTGTGGGGGTTGCTGTTTGAAAAGCTGGTACATAGCTTAAGATGGTGGCCCCTAAGGTGAGAGTTTTCATTACAAATAAACAATTTGTCAAACTCCTCAATGTCGTAATGCCCATTTAAGATCTTAAAGGTCTCAATTAGATCTCCTCGGTCCCTGCGGCTTTTTAATGTTGTAAGTTTTAAAACTTTCAAATGTTCTTCATAAGACTGCCGTTTCAATAGCCGTGGTACTTTAGTGAAGCTACGCTGTACGTTTTCCAACACTTCAATGTTCTTGATAAAGTATGGATTCCAGACTTGAAATGCATATTCTAATATTGGCCTGATAAATGTTGTGTGGATCTTAAGCATCATTTCCGGTGTTAGGACAGCGAAAGCTTTTCTCACGAGGTAGATTATTCCCTTAGCTTTCTTAACAATTGTTGATATATGCTCTTCCCACTTCAAGTCTTCTGCAATTTTGACTCCTAAATCTGTTTGTATTTTAACATCTGTAACTGACGTGCCGCTCAGTTTATAGGTAAGACGAGGGTTACGGTTTCCTATGTGTAATACTGTACATTTGAAGCATTGAGATTTATAAGCCATTCCTTGGACCAAATAGCTATTTTATTTAGATAATTCTGAAGGCGGTCGTAGTCTATTAGTGGATTTGCAAATATTTTAGTATCATCTGTAAATATGCTGACATTACACTTTAGGCAAAGGGGAAGGTCAAAAGTATAAATAATGTACAATACAGGGCCCAGAACGGAACCCTGTGGCACTCCACTATGTATATCTATGTGATCAGACTTCGTTTCACCAATTCTTACTTGTAGAGTTCTTCCACGCAAAAAAGACTCGATCGAAGCCAATAGTTTTCCACTTATTCCTACGCATTCCAGTTTCTGGAGGAGTCTTCTCGTAGGGACTTTATCGAAGGCCTTTTCGTAGTCAAGATAAATTACGTCAATAGGCTCTCTCATTAAAGTGTTTGGTCCATGATGATAGGCATAATAATAAATTGGAAATCGTGGAATGATGTGGACAAAAACCATGTTGCTGTTTAGGGATAACTTTGTGGTTGGAGAGGAAGTTTCTAATATGCTTCACTATAATTTTCTCCATGATCTTGCAGACCACACTGGTCAGACTCATGGGTCTGTAATTGGTTGGTTCTAGTTTGCTACCTTTTTTAAATATGGGTGTCATCAATGCTTTCCATAAGTCCGGTAAGGTGCTTGTCTCGTACGATGTTTGCATTATTGTCGTTAAATAGTGAGATAGGTTGCATTTCTTCAATATAGTTACTGGTATATCGTCTGGTCCCGGAGATGAATCTGTTTTCATTTCTGAAATGACTCAGTTAACATGGTCTGGCGTGAACAGAATTTCTTCAATGGAATCCTCTACTCGAAGTGTCGGGTCTAATGTAGGCAGTTGGTCATTTGGTTCTGTTTGGAAAACACGCGCGAATACGTCCGCAAATACCCTGGCAATTTCGTGAGGTTGGGTCACAGTTTGTCCTTGCTTGTTTAGCAAAATAGTAGGAATGCTTACTTTTGATGTTACTTGTTGTCTTATATAGGAGTAAAACTTTTTTGGTCCTGCCTGCAGTATTTCTTGTTCGTAGCTTGTTCGGGCTTTTCTATTTTCATTTAGTAATTGATTGTTCGTGCTTCTGTAGTCTATAATGTTGTTCTAGTCCAGTCAGCACATATCTGTTCCATAAGGCTATTTTGTTCTTGATGAGGTTTTTAGTTTTGTTTCTAACCCAGGGCTTGTTTGTGTTGTTTAGACAGATATCCAACCGTGGTACGTACAAATTTATAGCTTCCATCAGTGCCCCATGAAGGGAGTTAAATTGTGATTTAACACACTTTTGGTCTGCCATATTTTCGGGTAACATTGATGACAATTTAGTGTTTATTTTTTCGTAATCGGCTTTGTTAAAATTTAGTCTGGTTTTATGTTGCGTTTGTTGGTTCTGCGTTTGCAACTCTATAGTAGCCAATAAGCAGGTATGATCGCTTTTACCAATAGGGGCCTGGTGATCGATACTGACTATAAGTGAGTCCTCATTTGTTAATACTAGATCCAAATATGAAGGTTGATTTCCTTAACGATACCTAGTGTGTCTATCTACTAACTGTTGAAGGTTATTGTTTCTGTACCATTGTATGAAGTTATTTTCTATTGGTGTAAGATATCCGCTATCTTCTAGTGGCCACTTCACTCCACCATAATTGAAGTCACCCATTATTAACACAGTGTTAGACTTGGATACATGATGAAGCTTATTGAGTAAGCTGTTATTTTGGTCTATTGTAGAATGTAGAGTCATGTCCTCTATATAGTCCACATAGTAGGAACTTCTTATTTCCTATTTTAACGTCAAGCCATAAACATTCCGAAGTTTCATATTTCTTGTTGTAAGTGGTATTGTGTTTTATTGTCAAGACGTCAATTTCTTTTGAGGCATATATTCCGACTCCTCCACTACGTTTGCCTATCCTGTCATCTCGGTATAAGTCATATCCAGATATTTTTATCATTGAGTCCGGTATATTTGGCTTGAGCCATGTTTCAGAAATTATTATCAGCGCTATTAGTATTGACTCTGGCAGTAAGTAGATCCAGTTTAGATGTTACTAATTGTATATTTGTGTATAGTATTGATATTTTTAGAAATTTTGGTATGATCTTAGGGACTATATTATTTGTTTTGTTAGATTGTTGTAGTTCGATGTTGCTATTAGTGATTAGTTTTCTTGTGCATTAGTTTTCACAATTGTTGAATGTCCACGTATATATTTTATAGTGATGTCCGTTTCTCCGCCATGTATGTGTTTATTAAGTTCTTCTCGTAAGTACTTCAAGTATTCTCTTTGCAAGGGAGTCAGGTCCGAGGTAATGTTCGAGGGCTTACTAAGTTTATTTCTATTCCTTTGTTTAATAAATGAAATATATATTATATTTCATATATTAAACAAAGGACCATGGGCAAAAATGTATAAAGCCTGGGCTCACCTACCAACAGAGATGAGATCACTTCGAATATACTTGTACTGCAATAAATATAAAGATTGAGACTCATTTATGTGAAGAAAACATGGGGTTATTTTTCTATAAATATTTTTCTCCTACCATAAATAAGCTATAATCCTACAAAGTAATGCTGTTATGACATTGTAGTTTTTGTTGTTTGACATCTTATACCAGTTTTAATTCCAGGTGCAAAAAATATACAAAAAATAAAACAGCTGTTATCTGTTAAAATTATTTTTATTTTTACTAATAAACAGCTGTTGTATGTATCAGTTAAAACATTTCAATCAATATCAATAATAATGTCGTTTAGATGACCTGCCGGTGGTTTAAATTGTATGTGCCTAACCCTAGATACCATATTATTGAAACGGTATATGCACAACTTCCTACTGTACGAGCAATAATATTGAGCGATGGCATCTGAACCTATTTCATTTTAGCCACACATTTTGGTCTTGGATATAGCATGCTGCTAAATCATGTAATTCATTTTCACGATAGATTTCTATCGTATATAAACCACTGCGTAAATGTTCACTGCAATATGACTTATCAAGACCCAAGGGATTTAGAGACATAGTAAGATATAGTAGAGCGTGTAGTAGTATGATATAGTTAGAAGGGACGGGCGCCCGTGCAGACGTAGGAAAGGTGTGAGGGATAGAGAGTGTTGTATATCACACGGGCGCAGGCGCATCTAATGTTTACCATTATTTTAAAGTATGAATTTGTTGTTTCAATAACAGTTTTATGACTACCAATTGTCTTTTTCTACAAAACCCATTTAGGTGTATATCTTTTTTCTGCAATAGAATTGAAGGTGGTGCCGATAGTAACAATTATATACAAACAAAATCCTTTACAATAGCATATGCCATAACTCTATTGGACACTGAGCCCAATTTGTCACATGGTCCTTTAGAAATCAACCCTACCATAATTGATATATATGTCTAATGATTGGTGGTTCATGGCAAGCTGAATGGTACCTTATCACTTAAAGGTTAGAACCAATGCTGATAAAGCTTTAGATGAGGAACTAATACCCACCCATATCTATACTAATATAATAAAGCGGAAGATTTTTTTGTTTTTTTGTTTGTTTAAACGCGCTAATCTCTGGAACTACTAGTCCGATTTGAAAAGTTCTTTTTGTATATTATAGCCAGATTCATGTGGAATAGTATAGGCTATCTAGCATTAAGCTATATTACTCAGCTAGCCTTAAATATGGATATTTGTTAAGCAAGTCAGAAGAAAAAGCACTCCCGAAATGATTTATCCGCGTACGCTGGTGTTATCGTTAGGGATACGTAAATACAATGTTCTAGAAAAATATAGACCTTTACTCCATCTAAAAAAAAGTCCACGATACCATATGTCTATTTCTTATACATAAGCCATAATTTGGTATATTGTGACAAAAAATATTGAAAATTTAAAGTGATTTATGAGCGTTATTATTAGGCATGGCCTATTTATCCTCACGAACGAAAGTTACTTCATCATCAAGACAATTTTATGAAGATAAACTTTGTTCTCTTCTTATATCATGTTATTTGGACGCATAGTTTAAGAGATAATGTAAAATTAAAATAAAATAATACTTGGCTGGGCGCACGAACGACGCTTAAACTCTAACCGTTATAAAATGCTTGAACTAGGTCATGTCGCGCACCCCGGACACGTGATGACGCGAGTGAAACCGCGGGGCACAGCTAGTATATAATATAAGTAGGCTTAGCACATAACCCAACTTATACGCCTGGCACTAAGTCTGGAGCAGCCTAGGTGTGATGTGTACTATATATCTTTAAATTTATAAGAAAGTAAAGCGTATGGTTATAGATTATTTTATACTCTAAGTATAAAAACATTGTTGTGGTCTTTTAATCAAGAATTCATAAAAATAAAAATGTATTTAATATTTTTATATATTTATCATAGGAAACATACTTTATTTGCTAAAATCAATATCTATGTAGAAATAAAATTGATTTTGAATAGCACTACCCTTCCTATGATATGTACTTCTGCTAACAATACTCTATCAAATAGGATCACCATACCATAATCATCATCATGACTGTGATACTAGTTGAAAATGTAACAATTCAATCTACAAGGCATTATCAAGCAAGTAGGCTCTGCCATTGTTAACCTCTAAGTGTTTACTGTCATTTGCACTTATAGTGGAGTATTTTAATAAAGTCTATTTTATAAATATTAAGTCAGGTGAATCTTGGCCAAGTTCGTTCTTCTATATAAATAAAATTGTAGAGGTTTGCAGTTGTGCAAGTATCACGGAAAAACTACTGGATAGATTACAATTAGGTTTTCTAAGTTTTATTTCTTAGACACTTGGTCTAACCTAAAAAAAAAATTGTCACTATCTTCATTTAATATAAAGTTATTAAAATTTTAAGAAACAATGATTTTTCAAGCACTACGTGTTCAGTGATGTGTTTTCTTGATATCAAGCAACACTGATGAAGTCACGGGTATCAGCTAGTTATTAATAATTGTTGATTAACATTTTAATTATTTTTCACTTGTAAGCTGTTTTACTTGTTTTAGAAACCTGGTGATTTCAACTGGACACCAGCACAGCAAAGTATAATTTTGGGATCATTTTTCTACGGATATGTATTAACACAGGTATTTCAAACCAATTTTTTTACAAATTTATATTTATTTATTTATTTATTTGTATGGATCTCCAACAGTTGTACATACGAGTATTAAATTACTTCTAACACATGCCTTACATCTACAAATTACTATGTACTACCAATTATAGGAGAACACATCATTCTGAAACAATAACAGTGTTTATAATTTGCCTATTTTAATGGTAGTTGGAACAAAAATAAGTTTAATGAACAAAAGATAGATAACAGTTTTTGTAACATAAATGAAAGTTAAGTTTAACATAAAGTTAGTGACTAATTAATTTTCTAAACTATCGTTACGTTTTTTGTTTTCATAAAAGTGCGAGTGATTTATTAATAATATTAATTTTTTTTGGAGAAGTCAACATTATGAATAACATTTTCTGTTCATCTGCATGTTTCAATGTTAGGGTTGGAATCAATGAAATATTTCATTTTCAGATACCCGGTGGAAGGATAGCAGAAATGTTTGGTGGAAAACTTGTTTACGGCGTGGGTGTGCTTTTGACAGCAATATTTACAATTCTTAGTCCAATTGCAGCATTTATAGATTTCAAATTCTTTATTGTTGTACGAGTTCTGGAAGGGTTAGGTGAAGGTGTGACCTACCCCGCCATGCATGCTATGTTGGCAAGGTGGATTCCACCTTTGGAAAGATCAAAGTTTGCTGCATATGTTTATGCTGGTAAGACATATTATTACATACATTGAAATATATTTTTTTTGTTTAAAATTACGCAACACAGGTGTAATTATCATTACTTACCAATGTGAGTGTACCTCTCACAGATGTAAGGGAGCCTTACCTCTGGTGAAAGACTGATAGTGGAAAATCCAGTCTAAAATGTTGAGACCAATCTCACAGACTAATGATGGGGAGCAATTTTACCAGTATATATTAATTATTGCATTATACAGTTTTCAGCCAATTATATAATTATACAGTTTTAGCCATAATAGAAATACACCAGAGCAATACTCTGGTGTATTTCTATTATGGCTTTGCATGCACTCATCATGGTGAGCTGGGCATATCAAGTAAAGCTACTTACTTTTTTTTAAAATAAAATTGAAGTAACATACAAACTTATAATCCACCTGATGGTAAGTCAATACTGCAATTAGTACTGGAGACGTGCAATCAACTTCAAACAAAGCAGGCTTCAGATGCATTGTTCCCTCACGACTAAGATGGAATGCCTCTCTTTATACTTCAGAACAGAAAACAGCAGTACCTGCTTATTGGGAACAAGATGGACAACTAAGCAGAAAAACTTGCACAATCTTGGCTTATTATTAAAGACCTTTAAAAAGTGGTGGACTTAAGGAAATGACTAGATATTTATCATAATTTAAAAAAAAATCCTTTTGTGTAAGTATTAATATAAAAGAAGTTGCACAATTTTTTTTTGATAAAAAAAAATTTACCCCCACACTAGGACTTTCCTCTTTTTTTTTTAAATACTAGTAACGCTATTAAACATTACTAATATTACCTTAAACCACTTCTGGTAAGCTTAAAATGCTTGTGTTATAAGTGGTTCACGACAGTAGTCGAATCGCGGATTCGAACCCACGACCGTTCGAGTTCGCGGTCTGCGTCCTGCCATTAGGCTACTGACGCTCCAAATCTTCTTCTGGATCGTGGAGGCAGTTTGCATACATAAATTGCACGAAGACAAACATCCAATGCAAAAATACAATCTAAGTTTGATTGTTGATTTGTTTCAGGCTCTAATATTGGCACAGTTATATCATTACCAATATCAGGATGGCTCTGTACTTTAGATTTTGCTGGTGGATGGCCACTTTGCTTTTATCTGTTTGGTGGCCTCGGTGTGGTGTGGTTCTTTGCATGGATGTTCCTTATTTATGATACACCACAAAAACATCCAAGAATATGTCCAAAGGAGGTTGAATACATCACTAATTCTATTGGGCCACATGTGAGTTATGCAAAAATGATAACTATTTTTTATGTATTTATCTATCTAACTTTTCAATAAACTGTTCAATTAATACAAACAAACCCTTAATCTAAAAACAGTCAACAATAATAGGTATGTGAACTTATGATAAACCTGCCTTGCAAATAGATACACTTACAAATATTTTCTGTTGTTGTAAAATGAAAAACATGCCAACTAATTAAGGTTAATTTTTTTTTCATATCATCATATGACAAATTTTGTACCTATGTTCGAATTTAATTTTTATAATCTGTCACTTTTAATGGATACATGTACAAAATTGCATTGATGCTAAAGAATGTAAAAAGGTATGCCTTTTTCTAAGTTTCACTCTTTTATCAGTGACCACATTTTTGAAATGCAATTTTAAGTGCTGTTTTAGTAATGTACTCATAACAAAAAACTGGCGCACTGAGAAAACGTTACAGAATTTATATAAGAAGGATAACTGGGATATATTAATATAGAAAAGTATAGTTACACATACACACACATTTTTTTTTATAGAATAAGGGTTACAAATGAGCACACAGTCCACTTGCAGGTAAGTGGTTGCTGTGGCCCATAGACATCTACATCTATCTTTGTTTGCGAATTAAAGTGCAGATGCTTTGCCGGCCATGAGGACTAAGATAGAATGCCTCTTTTCCAGTAAAATGGGTCTCCAATTCTCTACACTCACCATACGAAATACAGCAGTATTAACCTGCTATTTTACGCTGGTATTCTGTGAGAGTGTGGTCCTTCCCCGGTCGAGCCGATCCATTCGTGCTACAACAATACTATTAATATATCTGCAGCATGGCTCTACTACGTAAAAGTACACATACGAGTATATGTTATGCATTGGTAATTTTGTAAGTGTAATCTAATAATTAACTTTTTAACTTCATTCAAAAATTAACTGTTCAATTTTTGTAAACAAAAGTGAATGTTTTTACTATAGCACACAATGCAAATGTTTTATCACTTGAGTGGGACAGTGGAACACAGCTGTGACTCATGTGTGCCAAACACAATGACATCACAGATAGCATATCTGAGGTCAAACTATATTGACAGTTATTTTCTAAGAGAAAAATTATCTATGTATGATCTTTTTCAATAGATATAATATGTACTTATTTTCTATTGAATTAAAATTATGTAAAATAGCAATGAAATAACAATCTACAACTATAGAATCACCTACACACATAGATTACCCCCTAATAGATACCGCATCATTGAATATTTGTTCTGTTTCGAGTTCACCAAATTTAGGGTTGCGGGGGACGTGGCAAATGCGCTGTGATTGGATATTTAAAGGTCAAACTTAGAATGTACCAAACCATAGTGATGGAACAGGGTTGGACGTTGATCGATAAATTTGGGATTTTTTGATTATTGATAATGATAAATAAATATATTAATCAATTTTTATTTGATGTTTATTAAAAAATTAAACAATGTATACATATATTAGTCTTCTGTTCGAATCAATTAACTTTTTAACTTTTTTATCTTTTTTGTTCATTACGTTGGTTAATTCGATGATTCTTCTACAAAGATGTTTCAACTGGAGTATCAAATGCAGATGGCGTATCAGGTATAGGAGAAAATTTTCTTTTTTGTTTTGTATGCGTTTCTAAGCAATGACTTTGATTTTTAAGTATTGGCGGGTTTTTCGCGTCTTTCAGCGGTGAACCAGTAATCTAAATCAGAAATACATATTCGTTTCTATTAAAACATTACCGATATAGTATTATTAATTAATACACCATACGGCACGTCTTCCAAATTTAGATGTACTTAGTAATTATAATAAGATATTACTGAAGTTCATGTAACACTAAATACCAAGTCAAAACAATAATCACATTATAACTTTTACATGTTTTATGATTTATAAATTCGTTAAAAATAGCTTGATTTCGACGTGTAACATTCACTGAAATATAAGAATATCATGTTTCACCCAACCACTTAATGATATTATTGTGTAATCTACGTTAGTACTAATCTTTAAAAAAAAATGCAAAAGTCCATACTAAAACTGGCAAGATTAGAGATGGTACAGCGGAGTCCAACGGCCTTATACGGTTTTTCATAATATTATGAAGCTTATCTTCTGTGAAGTGATTTGAGCATAGTACACTATTTTTGGTGGGAAACCATTCGTCCCCTCGACAAGTTGCGTAGATCCACATCTTTTTTCCTTTCAAAGCATTTAGGAAACCTATAACATAATAGGTACCACAATGATACGTCACTATTTTTATAAAATAATTTGACTTCGAAAAAAATAATTAAACGATGACCAAACAAATATCGATTTAAAAATCACAACACTATCGAGTATCGATACACGTGCTGTTGTTAGACAAAGACAACTATTGTAATTTACGTAACGAGTGAAAGGGACATTTCAAAAAGACATCAACGGGTGCTTAATTGTTATCACTTTGCATCATTATTATACCAGTATAAGTTGATCTCCGGTGCATTTGAAATAGGTTAACGTGATAAGAATAGAATTTATTTACCGATTAAAATTTATGCCATATTTTTGATAACTGGATGTCTTAGCTGACTTGTCACACCATTTTACTGCACAGGAAGCCATTTGTAATGTATTTTGGATACTAAACTATTTTTAAATTGTCAAGAACTCGGACGTGCCTACGGATCACAAATTTGGTCGATACTGATGTCGTGATTCTTAGCGTCACTTCGTATGCTAGCTACAGCAAGTATGTGTTGCGCGCATTTGTGGCCCTGTATGCGGAATCTATTAGGGGTAATCTATGCCTACACAAGACTTGAAGCAAGTATGTTGTTACTTCTTAAAAAATAAAACATTAAAATGAAAATTACAATAATTAAAAGATTGGATGGGAATCGCATGTTTTCTATCCACTAAATTACTAATATTCAATTAAATAAAGGCAAATTGTCCCATGGGTATCGTAAGAGGCAACAGGGTGAAACTAACCAAATGCAATAAATAAATAATAATAATAATTACTATTAACCAGGAGATTGGCATCAGCGTCTTTCTTATAACAACTTGAGATTAATTAACTGCAGTTACCAACTGACCTGCCGTGTGAGGCAAATATGGTAAATATCCCCTATGAAGCAATCTATGGGAGAGGCCTAAGTTCAGCTGTTGATTTTAATAGGATTTAATGCTAATTAAAGTAAAGCTAAGCTAAGTAAGGTAAAGTACCTAGCCCACAAAATATTTCATTCCTCAACTGAGGAATGTCTATGAATGTCTATGCATTTTAGGATGTGTTCCTTCACCGTTGATGACTTTACAAATCGGCATTTAAAATTAATTACAGACATACCACGGTAGTTAATATAAAGTGAAATTAAAAATTAATATAGTTAACATATTAAACTTTAGAATTGTATTTTTAACCTATTTATCAAATATATTCAGTAATTACGTCTTTGAGAGCTAATTTTGGTCACGGTGGCAAGTTTTAACAAACTCTAGCCATCTTCGCACGACAGGATTATTATGCAGAGTGCGCATGCCCAGCCCGGCTAGCATGGGCGGGGTACAAAAATTTATCCCCCGATTATATCCACTGACAAGAGATAAAATTATCTTTTTATGTCAAACGGGGAGAAGTATATCCCCGTTTGAAATAACGAGTAGTCATATGTCCCCCGTTCGTAGCATGGAGCCAAATGAAACATAAAAAATTATGCTTTTTTGACATTTGAAAGGGACAAGTTTATCCTAGTTCATATTTACGTGGTAGAGCCATGCTGCAGCTATATTAGTAGTATAGTTGTAGCACGAATGGGTCGGTTCTACCGGGGAAGGACCACGCTCTCACAAAATACCAGCGTAAAATAGCAGCTTAAAACTGCTGTGTTTCGTATGGTGAGTGTAGAGAACCGGAGACCCTTTTTACTGGAAGAGAGGCATTCCATCTTAGTCCTCACGGGTGACAACGCATCTGTATTTTGATTCGCAAACGAGGATACATGTAGATGTCTATGGGCCACAGCAACCACTTACCATCAGGTGGACTGTGTGCTCGTTTGTGACCCTATCCTATAAAAAAAAATTGGACGTGTGTTGAAGTTTATATTCATACAATAAAATCTATCTAAGTCTAAGTCTATCCCGCAATTTATCTACTGTGGATATTATAACCACCGGTGTACCCATGCCCTAAGGGTGGATGAAACTAAGCGAGGGGGATAAACATTTTCTCCTTTCCCCGGGGATAAAATTGTCTCCTGCCCATGCTGGCTCTGCTGGTGTTTCTTCTATTTTATCACTCTCATTGTCCTACGGGACGACAATCCGACACCACTGAAGAGAGATAAGGCGCACGAAAAACGGTTATTATATATAACTAGCTGGCCTGGTACCCAGCGTGTTGCTGCCACAGAAATAATTGTACAAATATCATTTTAAATTTGGAAGAGTTATATTGTTTAATTAGGAATGATAATACATTTTATTTTTAATGATAGTACATTGCCGGTACCATACGCGCACCACCTACTGTAATTTAACTATGCCTATAACCTTCGCGGAAGTGCAAGCAATTAGTCAACTAATTGCTTGCACTTCCGTGAAGGTTATAGGATATAGGTTATATAGATTGTGCTAAAACTTTGTCAACAAAGTTTTAGCACAATCTCATGACCAGTATGGCAGCGCATAAAATACGAACAACAAATATAAATTTTTATATATTAGATTAGATATATTCTGTAGTAAAGTTAATAAGTGACATAATATTATTTTGTTACAGGAAGACAAACCATCCATGTCTATCCCATGGTGTAAATTCTTAACATGTTTACCACTGTGGGCTATATTAATTGCACAGTGCGGTCAATCCTGGCTGTTTTACACGCAGTTAACTGAGCTACCCACTTATATGAACAACATCCTGCACTTCGATATTGTGTCTGTAAGTTCCTTATATGTAATTTGTAAATTATTTTAATAATCTGCAGGGTTGGCCAAGATCATGTGACTTGCGTTGTTTTTCATAGATTTATATAGAATTAATAATCATAGATAGTCATTTTGGCCAACCCTGCTGTAATAAACTCATTGACAGCTGTAAAATCAGTCGTTTTATCAGAATAGCAATTTTTTAGGCAATAATTAACTTATTTGTTTATAACAAGCTCGAAATATATTTTTTTATTAGAATAACGTTCTTGATAAGTCCAGTCCTTCTAGTCCAGGTGTAAATGATGATCCGCTTAGTTTTCTCCTCAGGACTCGTTAGACTGTTAGCCCATTAGTCACTCTATATCATAATATAAAAAACATTAAACACATTACTACGACAAGAAGTTTAAGCATGCTTTATCGAAATAGCCTTAGTTGTTCAAAGTAACTTTTCTTTCAGAACGCACGACTTTCAGCACTACCATATCTTACTGCATGGATAGCAGGCATTTTAATAAGTATCTTTGCTGATTGGCTGCTGGCTAAGGGATGGATATCTCGCCTCAACAGTATGAAACTGTGGAACACTGTTGGTATGATTTCTGTATTATACAAATTAAAAACATATAAAAGCTTTTACAAAAATATACTTTGCAAATATCCGCGTTATAAAATAAAATGATGTGTCTTACCTAGTACGAAGAGCACCTCCCGCCCTCCCTCAATTGCGTGCACTATCCCCGTCACCACTAATCCCAGCACCGCTACTCCCAACACCACTACACTAGGCAAGACACACCACTGACGATAATACGACACGTGTTTCGCCTCTACACGAGGCATCCTCAGGTGATATAGACTACGGTGGCTAACCGCTAAAAACATATATTTAAAATATAACAAAACTGAACAGTGTTATGTTCAATCTCACATTGGATATAGTGTTTTGGTAAAAAGCCTTAATTACTTTCTGTCAAAATACATGTTTGGAACGGAGTTCCTTATCACAAGGTACGGACTTGGCGGATGGGGGCTAGGTGAAAAAAAGTGTAAGAGTTTATCGTCACGACACTTTCTATAGTGTGTGGAATAATATCCTCGCACTTTTTTTATCTTGCCATGAAAGAAATATTATTTTAAATGACACTACATTTTAATAGTCGCCAGTAATTCATTTATTGCATGCCTTAAGCGCGAAGCGCGCAGGTATGTTCTGCTAGGGCCTAAAAATTAAGATTCCAACGTTTTGTCGCATGAAATCGTATCTAGCAATCATATTATACATATAAATTGTATAAAAAGCACATTGTCAGAAAGATAAATGATTGTTGTACTTATTAATATTTTTTATATCGATTAATTGCTATTTTTACATAAAAAAGGGGTTTTAGTGGCTTATGTTGTAGATTTATCAAGTCCGCATGGCGGCGTAAACACGATAACTTTTGAAAATATCAATTGTTTAACTCAATCTATTTTTTAATCTCTTCATCTATCTAGTATGTGGGAAGCCATGGAATGTAAATGGCAGCTTAATTTTGTTTTGTTTAGTTATAATTATTTTTTTTCGGCTGCGAAATGTCGAAATTTGCGGTGTTTTGGCAGCCTTGTATTAATTTATTTTACTAAATAGACTGCTTTACTCACTCACTTCGGCGTCAAACGCCGTCGTGTGTGGATATTGTATCGGTTGTTTGTAGCGGTTCAAAAAGATCGCTGTACAAATAAAATTATTGGAAAATTGGAAGTATAATGGTAGTGGTGTAATTGGTTATTAGTGAAAACTTGTGTGTATTTAAACTACTTTAAAAATTTCCGTATAATTATGTTATACGTAATTTTTTTAATGCGCATGCACAATTGGATTTACCAATATTTGTATTAGTTAATCAATAATATAATACGTTTATCAATAATAATAATACTACGAAAGGAACTTCGTTCTAACAGTGTTCCACGACACTCATGCACGTTTATTTATTTTAAAATTTTATTTATAAGTATAAAAGAAAAAAGCTTTATATCTTTAAAATAGCACACTTGTGTAAGTTAGTGTACCAGGTTCTAAGTGGTAAAGGTAAACTGATTTGGACATATTTTTGTTAGAATCTTTTAAATAAAATCACAATTGAATAAAACTTCTTTTACGGATTAAATTATATTTATTTTTGATTTCCGACGTTTTGGGTGCTTTACAGCGTAGATCGGACCAAAAGTAATAATTAAAAACTTGAGGTACTTCGGATTGACTCTCACATCGGAACATCAATCACCTCAGTCCCCCGTGACCATAGGTGCGTGCTGTAAAAAACTCGAAACGTCGGGAATTAAAAACGAGTGTAATTTTTTTAGAATAGAATAAGTCATTTATTGTTAAACTGTTAAACATTTATTATTAAACTGTTCGCGTGAATATAAGAAATCATTATGAAAATCACAATTTACTTTCTAATTTCGTAACATAGCTTATTTGAAACATTATTAGCACATACTGTTCATAATGGAAAGACTGTTGTGGTGTTATTTCGGGTAACTCGCTTAAAACGTCAACGTGCCATTAGAAACTATTCAATTATCTCCATATTATATTATGTTAATGTTACATAATATTATGCGCAAGTGCGATGCCATATCATGCGTTAGCGATACAATGCATTGCGATGTATCTCCACATATTGTTTATAGAACAGGGGGCATACGAGCATGCGGTTCACCTGATGGTAAGTGACTCCCGCGCCCATGAACAAATGCATCAGGGAAATTGCAGGTGCATTGCCGGCTTTATATAAATCACAGTGACATATTACACGGTGTGTTGCGACGTGACCATGTACGCGCTACGGATAAGGGGACTAGATAGAGGAAGCGGCGAAGAATGGTAGAATGATGCGTGTTTATTGGGTGTGCAAACGTTTGTCAACAGCGTCTCAGGCGTTGCATCATCGTAGTAAACGACGCTACGTTGCGACACGTGGTAGGGTCATGGTGCAGCTGTATTATGGTTGTAACATGAACGGGTGGGCTTGACCGGGTAAGAATCAAGCTCTCACACAATACCGGCGTAAAATAGCAATGCTGCTGTGTTCGTATGGTGATCGCAGACCCCTTTTTACTGTAAACGAGGAATTCCATCTTAGTTCTTAGGGGTGCAACGCATCTGCATTTTGGTTCTTAATCGAAGATAGATATAAATTCCACTTTTGTGGACGGTGTGCACGTTTTACACCCTTATTGTATAAACGCGCAAACTTGTGTCTTCTGGGGACTGAACTGGACTAGATTTAGTCGCCCCCAATCCGAGACTTTGTTAAGCAAAGACTCGACTTCACACAAGTTTGTCCCGGTACTCGGCGACGTTTTCCCGAGATATATTGGCACGGCCGGTATATAAGACATCACCAGTGCTGTCGTCCGCATAGCAATGAATGCTACCAGTTAGCAACATATCATTGATATGCAGGTGAAACAGCGTTGGTGATAGTACGCAGCCTTGTGGAACACCAGCGTTGATAGGCTCGAAATCAGAGCATGCACCGTCTACTACGACCTTGATGCTCCGATCAGCAAGGAAACTGGTGATCCATTCGCACAATTTCTCGGGAGGCCCATAGGAAGGAAGCTTCGAAAGAAGCGCTTTGTGCCAGACTCGATCGAAGGCCTTTGCTATGTCCAAACTAACGGCCAATGCCTCCCCCTTGGACTCTACTGCCTCCGCCCATCTATGAGTCAGATAGACCAGAAGATCACCAGCTGATCGACCCCGACGAAAACCGTACTGGCGGTCACTAATCAGCTGGTGATCCTCAAGGTACCTCATGAGCTGGCAGTTTATAATGGATTCCATTATTTTCGAGAACAAGGAGATGATGGCGATAGGTCTGTAGTTGGACGGGTCTGAGCGGTCGCCTTTTTTCGGGATCGGGTGGACCAAAGCTGTCTTCAAAGCAAAAGACGCGTTAAAACCGGTGCCAACTCCGGAGCACACGTCTTCAGCACAGTGGGAGGGACTCCATCGGGCCCACTCGACTTGCTGACGTCCAGGGAGAAGAGTGCTTTGCGAACCGAGCGCTGTGTAAACTGCACATCCGGCATGGAGCACTCACATCGCGGTATGGTCGGCGGTGTGTTCCCCCCGTCATCTAGAGTCGAGTTGGACGCAAAGAGAGAGCTCAACAGATCGGCTTTCTCCTTTGCGGCATGGGCCAGTGAGTCGTCCTCTCTGTGCAGAGATGGAAGAGAAGGCTGACAGAAGTTCCCTTGGACAGCCTTGGCGAGAGACCAGAATGCACGGGTTCCCGAAGGAAGGCGAACTAGCTTCTCGCCAATTCTGCCGATGTGCTCAAACCTTGCCTTGGCAATGACGCTTTTGAAGGACCTGGAGGCGGAATTATACTTCTTTTTAAGTGCGCTGGTGTTTACATTCCGAGACGTTGATGCGTCAGCTCAGGCCCGGTAGCACTCCTGCTTATAGCGTGATGCTATTTTACAGGAGCGACCAAACCATGGCTGGGATCTGCCTCCGATGGGCACCACAGAGGATGGAATAAAAAGTTCCGGCGAGAACGCTGGGATCTTCCGGCGAGAAGCAAACCCGCCCCCAAGGGTAAGATGCAAAAAAAGACCGCAGCCCGTCCCAATCAGCTGACCTAATAGTGCCAAACACGGCGGCAAGCTGCAGATCGCAACTGCGATTGGAGTGTGAGTGGCACCGTACTCCGGATCAGACAATGGTCCGAAGAGCCCCGAGGGGCATCGACGTAGACCTGATATCCGTCCGGATGAGAGGTCAGCAGAAGGTTCAACAAGGAAGGTACATGGTCTTCCACATCTGGGATCCGCGTAGGCGAAGTAACCAGTTGTGTTAGACCATATGCCAAAGCAAAGTCATAGACAGATCTATCCACATGATCGGTTAAACGACAACCAAGCCATTCAGCGTGGTGGGCGTTAAAATCACCGAGCATCACGATCTCTGCGGATGGCACCTGTTGTAGCACGGAGTCTGCAGCCATTTTGACGTGGTCGATGAGTCGGTCTGTGTCGGCATTACCGCTATGGGACCTATAGAGGCACTCGGTAGACGCGGGGATGCCGAGGCGTTGAAAACAGATATCCTCTCTAACGTATACGCAAACTCCAGGCCGGGGCACAAAGGAGTGTTCCAATTTGTACCCCGGGTAGGAGAGATATGAAGTATCAGCCGGAGAGGACACCTGAGTCTCGGTTAAAAAGAGCAAGGCCGGCTTCGCCGTTTCTAGATGGTAATGGACAGCGTTAAGGTTGGAATGAAGTCCCCTGATGTTGCAAAAATTCACGGATAGCGTGACAGGGGTCGCCTTGGTTGTATTGCTCCGCTTGCCCCGAGCACCATTAGTTTGTCCCCTTGTCTTTTATTTATGTTGATGGGGGGGGGGGGGGGGGGGTAATTGGGCCTCCGGCCACCTGCACTCATCAAGCGAAACGCAGAGGTAAACCTCTACTTCACGCTGGTATTCTGTGAGATCGTGGTACCACCCCGGTTCGAGCTGGCCCATCCGTGCGACAGCAAAAGCTACCGCTTGGCTTTACCACTGTTAAAAATCTTTAAGCTCTATTTCTTCTTTCCATATTACATTCTTGGCGGAAAGAATCCTTCCGTATAACTTACTTGTAACTGTCCTGACTTCTAGTAACACTTAATACAAAACTCGCGACAGGTGAATTAGAGATAAAAATATAGTATTTTTCGTACTATATTATTTTTCTACAATATATAGTACTTGTTGGCTAAAATATAGTACAATACTTATCTTATAGTACGGGTGGCAACCCTAGTATCGGGCACAGCAATTTTACCCAAATTAAAATGCTAATTCTAAGAAATTTACATGCCAAGCCCCTTCGGAGTTACAATTTCAAACTGGTTCTCCACCGTAGGTTACCATATCACGGCTACAAGTCATCCTCCCCTTCGCAAAATGACAACGCGAACAGACCATTTTGTTAGAGAGTGAGACTTATGACATTAAATAGCATCAAAAGTGTGAAGTCATCATCATAATTATCATTACATCCCATCTCATCACAAGTCCACTCCTAAACATAGGCCTCTCACGGTACTGAGCCCTCTGCATCCATCGTCTTACTTTTCTTATTACCTATTGTTGGGCCGCCCTAAACTTTGGCTAAATAAAAAATTATTGGTTTTTATTTCAGCGGCGTTTGTACCAGCCTTTGGTTTGCTGGGTATCGCGTGGGCGGGTTGTGATCGCGTCGCTGTCATGTTGCTACTTAGCATCACTTCTGCTTTCGGTGGTGCTGTTTATGCTGGTAAGGCGCCATTTATATATATATATATATATATATATATATATATATATATATATATATATATGTTTCTTAAATGTCACAATTTTTTGGTGATCAATTCAACCACGGTCACCACTTACCAAATGAGATTAATATTTTATATTCTTTTCTTTTCTAGGCAACCAGATGAACCACATCGATCTGTCGCCTCAATTCGCGGGAACCATGTACGGCATCACCAACGCCGCTAGCAATATATGTGGCTTTATGGCGCCTTACGTTATAGGACAAATTATTAGCTCCGATCAGGTAAATGATCCTCTGGCATTAATTTTGATATTTTGATATCACAGACCAATTTTATTTATATGTTGATGACTCTAGGTGTAATAGTGTTAAGTGACGCTCTTATCACCCACAAGGCCCAAAAACCATTAACTTCTGTCTTTGCACAGGTTTTGGTTACGGCTAAAATTTGAACTCTTAATTTAACCTGCATTTTTCATTACCTACTCGTAGTTGATGTGATGAATGTTTCATGCCCCAAGATCTGAGGTAAATTTGTTATAATTCAGAACATTGAGAATTGCGATAAAACAATAAAATATTAAGTGTATTTTTGTGATTTCTGTTGTGATAGATGTTTTGGTTGTCTGTTGATCTATAATCATTTTTATATAGTCAATTAACTTATTCTAGACTCCTCCGATGTTTCGATAGCTTTGCAGCAACAACAGGACATATCCTTAATCTTTTGAAATCAAATACGTAAATTCTTTTCTGAAAGTTATTGTGGCCTAAATCGCGCCATCAAAGTTTCGAAGTACTGCGCTGCGTTATTTATAGAATAGCTCCGAACTATCACACTGAGCGTTGGTCGCCCTCCGGGCCGAAAACCTTGCTCGGCGGGGGATATTCCCTTTTCCTTTTAAGGCCATATTGTACATAGAGTTTCAGGAGTTATCATAGGACCATAGAGTCCAATTGTACTGTATAAAAAGGATTTATGTGTTGATACACGTGCGCATGTATGTGTGTATATTTATGCTATAATGATGATACTGTATCCAAATAAATTTTATATGACTCCATTGTATAATGAATACTTGATTAAATTTTCATTAAAGTTATGTTGTTTAAAACAAACGCTTGTAAAGAAACTTATGTGCGAGTCACACGTGGTAGAAGTGTGAAAGCTTCAGAAAACTACACTTCGAGAAAATGAGACGAATGCAGAGTATCAGGAGTGGGATAATTGTTGGATTTATGTAATTAAAATACAAATAAGTTTTGTAATAAACACTGTTTACTGTACTCTATCTCATTCTCCCGCAGGCTAAATCCTATAGATGTATATGTTTGTCTCTTTTTAATGTCTCAAATCACAACGATTAAAGAAGTTTATACGTGGTACAGCCATGCTGCAGCTATATTAATAGTATAGTTGTAGCACGAATGGGTCGGCTGGACCGGGGAAGGACCACGCTCTCACAGAATACCAGCGTGAAATAACAGCTTAATGCTGCTGTGTTTCGTTTGGTGAGTGTAGAGAACCTTTTTACTGGAAAAGAGGCATACTATCATAGTCCTCACGGGTGACAACGCATCTGCATTTTAATTCGCAAACGAAGATAGATGTAGATGTCTATGGGCCACAACAACCACTTACCATCAGGTGGACTGTGTGCTCGTTTAACACCCTTATTCTAAAAAAAAAGTTTTCACTTTTAAAAAGTATTTTCAATTAGTCACCATGTAGAAAGTTAACTAGGACAGACAAACGCACCTACACCCATTTTATAAATTTTATTTTCGCAGCAAACTCTGGGGCAATGGCGTGAAGTGTTTTACTTAGCTGCAGCCATAGATTTAGGAGCAAATCTCTTTTATTTATTCTTCGCGAGCACCGAGGAACAGGTGATTGTTGATAATCATATGCAAACCATTGTTTACTATATATTTTTCATTTGATTATTAAGATTTGAGATCTAAAACTTAAAGTAGGTAACAATAAAAGTAAGTAATTAATATGAAAGGTCTCAAAATCACACAAATAAATGAAAATATTATATTATTTTTTATTTTAAATCATTCTGAGTATGTATTCTGTTGTAATTGTATTGCAACTAAGAAGTTTAACGTTTCACTCCTAAAAGCACATCAATAAGTTTTATGTTTACTTAATCTCTAAATTGTTAATTTTTCATTTTTAGGACTGGTCGCGATTAAATAACGACGACATGACAGCATCAGCGCCGGTCGAGAGTATACTATTCCCGGAGTCGTAGTCTTCAATTGAATTTTCTAATGAGGGCGACACTGCCGTATAAAGTGGCAACACTGAACTCTACATATCGTATATTTGCACAGTTGGCGTTAATGACTAATTATTTATTATTCAAAAGTGAAAGTAGGAAATAAAATATTCTTATGATAATTGTCATTTTAATTGGGCATTGAAAATAGGTTTTTAACTTTTATTCGCATTCACTCACTAACTAGAACCGGTTTTCTTTAGTTTTACTATTTTCTTAAACTTAATAATTTAATTCGCTAAATAATCTGGAAATATAATAGAAATAGTTCGCAATCACCTAAAATTTCGAAAGACTGTTTGTAAATAACACTAAAAACCGCCAAGCCGCTTTCAATGAAATTGTTTTTATTGTAAGCTTATCTCTAACTTAAAAAATACAGTCAAGTTTAGAATCTTCACTAATATATATATTACATTTTCTATGTGATTAATTGGTTATTTGAAACTGACGAGTGTTTCCGAGGCGTTCTAAATTAAATAATTATTTTCCGATTTAAAGAACTTTGGCGTTGCGCCACATATACAATGTATTACTTAAATTGTAAATGTTTTTGAAATTAATTAAAGAGACATTATATCAATGCTCTTATTAGGACTGTTTATACTTAGAATGTAATAAATTAGCGATTCGACTCTGCTTCACACGGGTAGCACGATAGCAAGTATCTGCGGTTGAATTAACAGTAGTGACACCTGTGGTAACCCAGGAAGCCTAGTGGCAAATTTGTATAAGAGCCTGTGAGCTCGATTGAATATCTTGCTGAAACTTCTTAGACGTTCTATCACCACCAATGCACATCGAGACTCTACTATATCGTCTCAGCGGGGAATGCACAGGGTAAATGTTTGCGTACGAATAACGCTTGTAGAAACTTAAGTACTTGTTCAAAAGGTTTAGAATAGAGACTGGTTTAATGTAGGTAAATGCATAAATGATGATTGGTAATTTGTTACAATTTTGCAATTTTAAGTTCTGATTTACCGCGTGCTTGGCGGTGAAGGAAAACACCGTGAGGAAACCGGCATGTCTGTGAAATTGAAAAAAAATATATATTTGAAGACATGTCAACATTCATTAGGGCAGCGCGGCAGATATTTCCTTGCCCTAAATCCTTTTCAGAAATGAGATGATGAGGATGGGCGAGTAGCCCACCTGCGGGACGTATGTAGGCTGTATCTTTAATTTTAACACAAATCACTCACATAAAATGAAGTTTTTCTATGTTTATTTCTATTGCTTTCTTTTTTATGGCGCGTTAGGCGAGAATAGGTCAACGTTAAACGCCTTATTATAAAAAGTGTTTTCTTATTAATTAGTCTCAGGTTAAAACTAGTCTGTTTCAACAAAGTACGGTAGAAAATATGCGACCTAAAATGTAAACTATGGAATTTGACAGTAATCTAAAAATTTGCGGCTAATTGTCTTCTTTAGTGAGAATGACTCTTCTTGATCCGAAGTTAAAACCCGAGACCATCAATAAACCACGTTTTCTAATAAGACTGGCTATCTGTTTTATTACAAAACGTGGGATTATAAACTACTTTATCCCTAAAGACGAGGAGAGAAGTCTTTTGGCCGAGGTGCTTTATATTTCGTGAAATTTGACTTTTACTGTCAAACTGCATGCTTTATCTCTTATATATAAAAATTGCTGTCCGTTAGTCTCGCTTAAACTCCCAAAACGGCTGGACCGATTTTGATGTTTTTTGTGTGTTTGAGTGGATCTTTTTATGGATAAGATTTACATTTGGACCCGGTAGGTGGCGCTGTTGTCGAGATCCAGATATCACTTGTGCGAAGCCGGGGCGGAGCGCTAGTAGACAAATGAAAATATACATACAAACGGACTAGTTTAAATCCGAGAGTAATTACTTAGTAGTAACCACCTTTTGTAATACGAAGGATATCGCCTTATTAGGAAAAATACCGATAGTGTCACGAAAACTTTTCACGCAGCGTTCGCCATGGATGCTTTTGGCGCCAAGGAATTTTTTCCGAATTAATTGACAAATATGAATGCTTTGATGCATGCGCTAATAACATAATTTCCAAATCCAAATTTCAAACCTAAACCTTCGTTGTGAATCAGTTGGTCTATTAGTTGAAACCGATTAAAAATCCCCACAGTAGTTTCCGAGATTAACTCGAACATACATGCAGCAAGACGCGGCGCGGTACTTTAATTTATAATATGTATACTTTGGCCGTTCTACTAACGTCTTTACAATTTTGTATGCCTCTTCCTTGTCATAAAAATTTACTAAGAACTTAGATTATTTTCTCTTAATGTCATTCCCGTTCATAAATAGTTATAAGTTTTAATTGCATAATTATAATGCGAAAATATACCATGTTGAAATTTGCTTACCAAATTTAATTTTCATCTGTGATAAATTTATACTCTTTTTTTTTCACTTGCTGACGATGCTGATTTATTTGCTTTTATTTTGTATTTACATACATACATAAACACTCACGCATGTCACCCAGAAGGGTAGGCAGAGACTACGGACTTCAATTTGGCACGATCCTGACAGACCTCTCTCGCCTCCTTTACATCCATATACCTATGCATACACGCTCGTCGGTCAAGGGTACTTCTAATCTGGCCTATTTTCGATATATTTACAATTTGGTCGATAAACTTTCAACTAGGGCTTCCATTCCCGTCTCTGCTGTTCACATCTGCAACATAGATCTGCTTTGTCACTCTTTCCTCGTCCATTCTTTCTACATGATCAAACCATCGAAGCACTCCTTTCTTAATCCTGGTCACAACATCATCTTGCAAACCACACTTTTCTCTTATTATTATATTAATGACCGCTTTTTACTTAACGCCTTTTACTTTTTATATGATTTTATTATTAAATACGTACTTTGTACAATAATAAAATTATAAAACTTCTTCATATAATATGCGGACAATAAAATTTTTATATATAATAACATGTTCGCCGTTAAGATAGTAGGGTAATGCGAGAAAAACATCAGTTTTAGAGTAGAGGAATTGTAAATGTACGCTGTACTCTATAATGTTTACATAATAACACATTTTTGAATGTTTAGTCTATAAAAAAATAAAAGCAAATACAATATCATCTTCATCTATTAATTGCTCTCTTTGGCAAGTCTTTACCGTGTAGGAAAGCTTTGGCCTTATCAGTTGCGAAGGCCCTGAACGCCGCATCCACGTCTTTGATGTGTGTCAAAGCAACAGTGCTTCGATCATGGATTTGAGTATTTCTGATATAAATTATATATGATATAATTTAATAAGTAGTAAAATTAAATACACACTAAAATAATACTCAAACTATCTTGATTCTCCAGCATCGATAATTATCATTTATAACCTTAAATAACACGGGAGGCGGCGTCAAATGACCCGCTTGCTAAGCGTTTTTATCACTTAGAGTAAGCACAAGTTTAGCTGCAGAATATTAATAAATAATTATCTTGTTGATTATTCCACAATGTTTCCAAGGCCATGATAGATTGGCATTTTATTAAGTCGACCGGTACGTACGGAATAAGGTGAAATTACGCTACTAATAATTAATTACTTTACAATTAATGAATTGTAATTAATTAATGTAATTTACTAAGTATACTCTAGTAAGTATATCTAATTATTGAAGTAAATAACTATAACATCAGAAGATATTTTGATCATACTTTTAGTATTAATATAGCCAAAATGCCACACGGCCAAAGATTTTTAATAAATATATTGTGCGAATAACATGATATTGTTATCTTTTAGATCAATTTTTTGAATAGTGTTTGTATCTAGTTGTGGCTTAAATTATTAGACTTCATAAATGTAATTTAAATATATGGCCGTCTTACTTTCAATTTTAACCATATTAATAAAAATAATTTTTCTTCGCGGATTTTCTGTCTCTTCATGTTATTTTTATTGCGAACAAAACATTGTTGGCGGTGTATTGTGATTTTTTTATTATCTTTTACTATTTCTTATATAAAAATATTGTTCAATTTCGCTCAAGGATTTATAGAAAATGATGTAAATAATATTTAAATAGTAATCTATAAACAGGGAATTTCTATAATGTAAATGGATTTAAAAAAATATATATATAAAGTGGCTTTAATTATCATTGGATCTGGTTAAATTCATATGTAACTACTCGGATAGTATACTATAAACATGTATCAAGCAAAAGCAACCGAAGAAGATAATATATACACATTAAATACGATACAATAAAAGAGAATACATCTGAATTGATATGCTCCTCCTTTTTAAATATTAAGAAAAACAAAAAATTCTTATTAAGCCATTGCCGCGTGGTTAATTGTTGTGATGTTTCTATATGGTGATGTTTATCAATATTAGTGTAATTTACTCATATTTTTAAATTATTCGATTAGATCAGTTCGAAGGTAGGATTTATTGCATCATTAAAAAGATTAAAAATTTACAGATTTTGCTTAAAAAAAAATAGAGATCTTACATTGTCCTAACAATGATATAATAGCATTAAATGTCAAACTTGTGGAAGTATTCCGTAGTATTAATCGGTCCTAGAATTGGATTAAAATATAGTAAGGTTTATTTCAGTAGCCAAGCTACTGTATAAACATAATAGGATTAAAAATCTTTCTCATTATTTATTTGCCCTCTAACTGACTTCCGTATATAACAGCTTAAAAAGCAGATTTAGAAATCTTATGAAATAATTATAATTTATAAGAAGTCGCTTAATAGTAATATGTTATAAACTTTACCGATTACCCAATGATTTAATCAAAAAAATATTTGTGATTACATGTCGCATGCAGCATTTGGTTTTATTCACTATTTAACCGTAAATATTAATAGTTAGGAGATATAAAACTATTTGTATCGTGGCAAGATTAAGCATTTGTTTTAAATATAACGTTTATTAAGTTTAACGGTTTTCGTGACAAAATATGTATAAACACTAATTAGATATTTGGAA